CGCCTTTCCCACCTCCTATACTAACTCTTCGCTTCCTACTAACGCATCATCTCCATCACCACTGGCCCCGATTACCCCACGTGTACGGCCAAGATTCGTCCACCACCCCATCCCTCTTTTTTCCTCCCCTCGTCTATTCTACTTCACCTCATCGCGTGCTTTACCGCTCCTCGAGCCTCGTCACTGCCTCTTTGGCCCTCCTTACGCTCGGTCATCCCGCTCGGCCACCTTCGCGGTCGGCCCTCCTTACGCTCAGTCATCCAGCTCGGCCACCTTCGCGGTCGGCCCTCCTTACGCTCGGTCATCCCGCTCGGCCACCTTCGTAGTCGGCCCTCCTTACTGTCGGTTATCCCGCTCAGCCACCTTCGCAGTCGGCAATCCTTACGATCACCCAATCCGCCACGCCACTTCCACGGTCGACCGTCCTTACCTATTCCCTTTGTTGGACTAAAGCTGCACTTGGGAATGGGGGGCTACTGATACCGATGGGCCCACAAGAGGGTCTGGCCCACGACTCAAGATCCTGCCCACGGACTAAATATTAAAGCCCAGTAACCCTGAGAAACCAATGATGGACCAGGACCAATAGCATTCAAACACTTGTCAAGCAGAGGCCTAACCACGTAATCAGACAAAGATCCTGCAAAGTTATTGCACCCATACATCAGCCATTAATGAGGCTCTCATAGCATTAAATACGACAACCCATTCACGACGGAAGATACAGACACACCATGAACGATACAAGATAGAATATAGACTTTCGACCAACACGATAGTCTGGAGTGGACAAAGAAATGATGAGCAGAGGCTATAAAGAAACTTCCGAGATGCACTAAAGGTTAAGTTTTTTATCCTTCTCCTTTCTCTACACAATCAATCTATTTTATTCTAACTTGGTCGTTGAAGTGTCCGTCGGGGGATCGTCTCCCCCCTTTGGACTTTTTTGCAGGCACGCTCCGGGGACATCAAGGCTGATAGACCTGTTTGAAGCGTGGACCAACCAGACTCATCCTCCTTCCGAACCATTACATCGTCAAAATACTTTCACGTTTATTTATGTATTGGTCTTGTTTTTCATTTTTCTGGGCATCCTCAGGCTATTCCTTTTTTGGCAATCAGTTCATAGCTGTATTCGCAACCTAACATGGGCCGTTGAACAAACTATGCATTGGTCACTTTTGAGACCCATTTTTGTTAGGATTTTGCCCGCTTTCCTTTTTCAAAGTTACTTCTCCCACCAAGGCCAGTAGGTGTATGATTATGTTTTCAAATTTCAAATCAGACCATCCCCTCACAATTCCTCCATTTTCTTCTCAGTTGAGGATAGAGCAGCAACTAATTTCCCATTCTAGATGGATAGACAGTACACATCCATCGAATCTTTTGATTTCACTGTTACTAATGATCCATTTGATTGCAGAAAAAATACATGGAAATAAATAATAGTCATATTCATAAAATACAATTTTATCTCTTCATTGGAAAGCAAAGAATTTGAGATTGAAACGTTGGTTAGTTTCAATTTTGTTGATAAAAATGTCCATTTCATTTGACAAACATGAAAGACAGAGGTTGCGTTTGGTAGAGTTTTGTAAATATGATTTGAGAATATGAGTTGTATTTTGAGTTTGTAAGTTATGGAATTATGATTTGAGTATAGAAAATTTGTTTGGTTATGATTTTTGAAGAAATTGTTGAATTGAGTTTTGAATTAAGTGTGGAATTGAGTTTTGAAAGTTTAATTTGACATGTGAAGTAAGAAAATTTGTTTAGTTGTGAGTTTTGGAAAAAGTTTTCAAAATTTAATTCAAATTGTTATAACTCATAACAAAACACACTACTTTCACACTGTTAAAAATTCTGATCAACACTCATAACTAAACTCTTTTTAAAATTCAATTTAAAAAATTTATTAGTAACAGAAAATAACATTAATCAATTTTTTAATTGAAAATACTACAAAGGAAATAATTTTTTTTCAAAATAAATATTCAAAAAATTTAAATCATAAATATTTAAATAATTTAAATAATCGAAAAAATTTAACAAGTAAAAAATTAAAATAAATATTCAAAAAATTTAAATCGTAAAAATTTAAATAATTTAAATATTCAAAAAAATATAATAATTTAAAATGTTAATATTTTAAATTTAAAAATAACTCTATACTCAAATCGTAACCAAACATGTAAAACAAAACCAAAAAAAATTAAAATATTTAAAAATATTTTTATAAAATAGAGTTTGAATTTATTTTTATAAAATATTTTAAAAATTAAAAAATTAAAATCGTAATATTTTGAAATTAAAATATTTAAAAATATTCAAAAAATTAAAAAAATCATAACATATTTAAATATTAAAATATTTAAAATCTTAATAAAATTAAAATATTTTTAAAATATTTAAATATTTAAAATATTGATTTGAATTAAATTTTGAAAAGAGTTTTGAATTATGTGTTTGGTTATGAGTTTTGAAAAGTAATGATTATATTTTGAATTGAGTTTTGAGAAATGGGTGTAGAATTCTAATTTGAAAGTTCAAAATAAACAATGCACTCAAATCAATGGGTGAAACTATAATTTGAAACCCTAACCAAACGAAGCCAGAATTTTCTTTAACTAAATTCATGTTATTTTGTTGTTTCCTAAAGAAAAATGTTTAAGGGCCATAATTTTTGTGGTTCAAATGACTCAAAATTATTAAAACGATGTTGTTTTGACAATTTCAAAATTATTTTATACTCAAAACGACGTCGTTTTAATAATTTTAAGTCATTTGAGTAACAAAAATTGTGACCCTCAACCATTGTTGTTTCCTAAATTCTAGTTGTTTTGAACTTAATTCTTTAACTCCAAGTTCTTTTTTGGAGTCATGTTGTAACTCACCAAACCAACCGTGCTACGTAGCTAGAATTCAAAGCCCCGAATCCCCTGAATTCAAAACGACGTCGTTTCGTCATTTTGATTTTTTTTTTTTTTTCTTTTTTTTCAATAACGCAGAAGAAGAGAGCAAAGAAGAAGAAGAGGAAGAAGAAGGAAAGAAGAAGAAAGGAAAGGAGCAGAGCAGAGAAAGAGAGAACACATATCATCATCAACATAGCTTCATCATCAACCAAAAATCAAACCCACCAAATCATCAAACCCACCAAATCATCAAACCCACCCCATTCATCATCATCACCGACCTTTCATTTCAGATCCAGAAAAAATAATTTCAGATTTCAGATGTTCATCAACACAGCTTCATTATCAACCAAAAATCAAATCCACCAAATCATCAACCAAAAATCAAACCCACCCCATTCATCATCATCACCGACCCTTCATTTCAGATCCAGAAAAAATAATTTCAGATTTCAGATGTTCATCAACAACAACAATTTCAAATCCGGCGGAGGCCGCAGTCGATCGCCTCTCTTCCCCTCTCTTCTCTTTCTCTCTCTTTCTCTCTTCCCCTCTTCTGTCTTCTCTCTCTCTGTTTTCAGACATAAAGAAAAATAAAAAATAAAAAATTACTCAAAACGACGTTGTTGTTGTTGTTTTGAGTGGTTGAGAGATTCGAGAGAGAGAGGTTCGAGAAGCTTTATTCCTCTAGAATTTCTTAACTCACCAAACAATCAAAGCCATTACTGTATGAAAAGAAGGCCTGATGTAAAAATGGCTGACTTCATGCGGCAATAAACTGTTATATTTTCTAGGATTCTATTCTTCTGTCTTTTATCTTTATCTTTTTAAACATATATATATATATATATATATTCTCAGAAACATGTGCAAAAGTAGACTCATCAAGAATTCCATGTCTGAGTCAGAAGCCACCTATGTTCATAGTAGCCATTAAGAAGGGGTAGGTAATCTTAGAGATAATAAAATTCTGCTAAATTAATGGCTAAATTAATGGCCAAATGTCACATGTAAAGTGAGATTCACAAAAGTGTAAAATCCACATCTATATGAAAAATTTAATCATTCATTTCATAAAAAATGTAAAGCCTATAGCATTTTTCATTAAGAAGAACACAAAAACAGGACAATAATATATTAAATTCAGATCCATATAACTTGCGTGCTTTCTGGTTGTTTCCTGAGTAAATTTAAGTAGAATGGATGTGAAGCCTAAAGTCCCAAAAATACCTGACAACAGTAAGGATTTAAACATCATTTAATCATGAGAATTTGTAATTCGTAACTTTCATAAAAAAAATAAAAAAATAAAAAATAAATAAAAAAAAAACAACAACAACAACAACAACTGAATATCCTCTAAAGTGGAGAAAATCAATATGTTGATGACCATATGATACAGTTTAATGGTGGAAGGAATGCAAAACGGGTGAGAAGAATTGTGTTTGACAGTTCAACAAAAGGAAAGGACACAAGGAAAGCCAAGACATGAATCAAGTATATCAAAGACTCCACCGAAAGCCAAGAAATGTCAAATTTTCAATCTATTCACGATATTCAGAGCCCCAAGGATTGTCCAAGGAAGCAAACAGAACGGAACTATAAATTCAAGATCATCACAGCAAACTTCTCACAGGATAACAACTGAGTCCAGCAAAGTTGTTGACTATTGAAGATCAAACCCACATGGATAATGAACTACAGAGGACCGATCCGAAATGTCTCCAGCGGAGCAAAGCAAGCATGCCTTGGCACTCCAAAGTCCCAATGAAAAAATGAAGCTGCAAAAATCACATAGTAAAGGAACTGCACTGAATTCTCTCCTACCACTTGCAATACGGAAAGATAAGAATTATTTCTCTTCGTTATTACATCAAGAAAGCAAAAAAGACTCTCATCCAAAATTCAACAGTATATCATGACAAAATCGCCAAGGCCTCAATAACAAAATGCCATATGCATTACAAATCAAACTCAAAGTAAAATATCTATACAGCAACAGAAGCTAAAACGAGATCAATATTTGAATTTGCATGCAAAACATTTAATGCCCTTCATAGACTCACAAATTGCAATGACTCAGAATTGTAAATTGATGGTAAACTCATCCAAATAGTTTCTGTTGATTCACATGAAAACATGGCTACATATAATTGGGCATAATACAAAAAGTTAAACCCATTCAAAAGCCAACACCATCGTCTCTATAGACTCTAGAGGACACCAGTGAATCCTGCTACACGAATTCCACAAAGACAAAACAAAATCAAAAGCAAAAGAACACAGAAAACACCAGCTGTAGAAGCTAGATAAAAACAGGAGATGCATTAGCAGACGTAATCAAGCATAAGGAACAGCAAAAGTATTTCTCAGTAACATTTCTGTTGACTGTGCTTGGATTTGGAGAGGAATTTGAGCAAGGAAAGGAAAAGTAGTGTGATATGTGACTGAAATACAATTTTATTTCACATATCCCTCCATTTCCTCCGCAAATCACTACCCGGATACATGATACAAACATCGATATCGGTACTGTTTAGGGTTTAGGTATCGGCATCAGCACTGTTTCAGAAGGCCATAAACAACGCACCACAACATTAAAGTTGGAAACTAAACACCAACTGAAAGTACTATGCGATAAAAAACATGGGAAAATTTGTGGACAGAACAAGAAATCTTTTTACAACTCTTGTTCAGAACATTCATAAACTATCATTTGAACCACTGTTTGACCACCTCTTGAAAGTGCAAGCCACAAAAAAGCCAAACCTTGACTTGGTGGCCATTGATGGCCTGCCATTACTGCTCGACGGAGCATCCACAGCAGCAGTGACTTGGCTCACAATTGATGGAAACTCCACACCGTCTTCTTGTGCTCCACCATCACTTGTGCTCGCATCCAACCCATCAGTTTCAACCTCATTCGCATCCAAATTCACCACCAACGATCCCCTCCTCACCCTCAACCAATCCGCAAGATCACTCGTCACTCCCCTACACTTTTTAACCTTTATTTTCACCAAATTAGGACAACCCCAAGCAAAACCTTCAATACCCTCATCAGATACCGGACATGCCTTAATACAAAGCTTCTTCAATGCCACACATTTCACAGCAATACAAGAGATTTCTGTATCCCCAATTGTTTCACTACCACAGAGCGCTAATCGTTCTAATTTCTGACAATTGGTAGCGATTGCTTCGAGGCTAACTGAACTGGGATTGACACCAATAAGAACAAGTTCTTGAAGATTAGCAGAGTGTTTAGCAATTGCAATCAAGCCTTCATCGCCTATCCGATTGGTCCTCCACCCATCAATGTGAAGCTTCCTCAAAAGCTTACATTGTTTTGCAACAGATACAATCCCAATATTGGTGCACTCAGGAGTCTTCACGAGGTGCAAAATCTCAAGATCCAAACAATTCGATATCGCCATAAGTCCATCATCGCTCACCTCAAGCCTCTCCAAGTGGATTTCAACCACAGAGTTCTTTCGATTTCCGATCATTTCCAAAACTCTATCCCAATCACCCAAACATCGTAAAATCTTTAAAGTCCTCAGATTCTTCGCTCCAACGATTAAGGGTCCAAAGCACTGCCCATTATAGAGCTCTTTCAAGCATATGGTTTTGAGCGACGAACCGGCTAAACCGGGCCCAATAGTCTCGGCGGCGCCGCCACCGTCGCCGCCACCTCCGCGGCCGCCGCGGAGGCGCTTGACGGAGATCTCTTCGAGAGACGAGCAGTGATCGAGCAACGCGTTCATGCCTTTGACCCCGAAATTGCAAGACCCACATGAGAATTTCTTCAAACCCTTAGAGTTCTTGGCGAGAGAGGCCATACCCAGATCGGTGAGCTCGCGACAGCTTCGGAGTTTGAGGCGCGTGAGGTTAGGGCACCGGATCGAGATCTGGGTCAGAGCGTCCTCGCTGATGCTGACGGATCGGCGGTCGCATCGGAGAGCGAGCTTGGTGACGGCGTCGAAGCGAGAGAAGAGGGAAGGGATGAGAGGGAGGAGCTCCGACTGGGCGTTGAGAGACATGCGGTGGCGGCTCTGACCCTCCACCATCAGCCACCGCCGGCAGACGAGAGAGCAGGCTTTCCGGTCGCCGGAACTGAGAGACTGAAAGACCCAAGCCAAGCACTCGTCGGGAAGCTCAGAGATGTAGTCTGCATCGCTTCTGAGGTCCTCAGAACTCGATTCATTCGTCGGAGAGAGAGTCTCGGGTCGAACGGTGGTGGTACGGTGGTGGGTAGTGGGGGTGGGGTGGCTGAGACGGTGGGTTGACCCCGGAGAAGAGCCGGGGGTCGAAGAGGACTGGCCCATGAAAGGTAAATCGCCGGCGAGTGATTGTACGCGCCACCGGAGGAGAGTGGATTTGTTAGATGAGTTGAGGAGAGTACCTTTGGTATTGAGGAGTTTAAATGAGTTGGAACATGGGCCTATCTCAAGCTAAATATAAAGGGTACTTGCACAAGTTGAAGCATTAATACTCCAAGAGTCTCGGGTCGAACGGTGGTGGTACGGTGGTGGGTAGTCGGGGTGGGGTGGCTGAGACGGTGGGTTGACCCCGGAGAAGAGCCGGGGGTCGAAGAGGACTGGCCCATGAAAGGTGAATCGCCGGCGAGTGATTGTACGCGCCACCGGAGGAGAGTGGATTTGTTAGATGAGTTGAGGAGAGTACCTTTGGTATTGAGGAGTTTAAATGAGTTGGAACATGGGCCTATCTCAAATATAAAGGGTACTTGCACAAGTTGAAGCATTAATACTCCAAAAATTTATTGGGAAAATAACATTTTATGAAAGAGTTAAATATAATTATACTACCATATTTCAACCGATTAAAATAATATATTATTTAATAAAAATATAATAATTATATTTAATTTTTTTATATTATATAAAATAAAAATTAAATAGAAGATAGTCAATTAAAATTTTTTTAATTATTTAAACTAAAAAAAATTAATATAAGATATTGATCATAAAGTTTTTTACTAAAAATCTTATTTCACTTATATAAATGAGAGTATAAGATTTACATTATATAAGTGAAATAATTTTATTTTTCCTTCTTTTCTCGATATGAAATTATAAAATAAAAATTAAATGAAAACTAACAAATGAGAATTTTCTTAATTGTTTAAAAATTAACAATTATTTGGAAGGAATGTTTATTTCTAATCAAGCAATTTAACTGTTTAATTTTTAATTTATTTCGAATCACACAAATTTAACCAATATATTTTGATAAAATCGCTAAAATCGCAGTTAAACTAGCTAATCAGTCAAACCAAAAACAGTTCACCTTATCGGTTAGGCAAATGGACCAACCAACTTATACAAAAATTAATTAATTAAAACTTTTAAATTTTATTTTAATTTTAAAATTTAAATTGTCTTGAACTGAAACATACAAAACACTATAATATTAAATGAGAGCATAAGGTTTATATAGTGAAACAACTCATTTTTTTTCTCTTTTTCCTGATATGTGATTGTAAAATAAAAATTAGCAATTATTTGGACGATGAGTTCATTTCTAAGTAAATTTATTCCTCATTTTTTCCTCATTTTCCTGATGAGTGCATAGATAAGACATGCACCCATCAAAATTCAATTGGGATTTTTATTTTTAAAAATAAATATGTTAGGACCCTTGTTCTTGTCAATCCCTGCGAACAACTTTGTTAATCGAGTTGTAAAATTTCCTTACTATTTTGTCTTCCTTGCTCGAGCGAAGGGCTGCGTTTGGCTTAAAACCTGAAAGAGGTGATTGTGCGCTCGAGCAAAGCATTGGTGGCTCGAGCGAAGGACTGCGCCTGCATAAAACTTGAGAGAGTTCATTGCTCGCTCGAGCGAAGGTTTTGTGGCTCGAACGAAGGCACTTATGGAAATCACGCGAGATAAGGTTCTCACTCGAGCGAGAGAAGCTTCACTCGAGCGAGCTTTAGAGTTCGGAATTTCTATAAGTAGTTGGTTTTCTCCAAAAACTAGGATTACTTTTCAGATCTACTTTGAGGTTTTCTAAGGTTTTCTTCTGGAGAGATTTTTGTGAGTTTTCCTTGATGTTTTGAGAGAGTTCTTCACTCGTGATCTAAGATACATACAACAAGGAGTTTGTTACTTTAAAATTCAAGAGAGTTCTCTTCGGTGGATTCCGAAGATTCAAACGTAGAGTTTCAAAGGAGTTTGATTCTGTACATAGTCGTTTATTCGACAAACGAAGTTGTGGATTCAACTTCAGATCAATCAGTTCCGAGACGAAGGCGTGGTGAAAAAGTTACAGAAGGTGTGAAGACAAATTGACTGTGTTGGGTAATTTGTGTATTATCTTTGTAATCTTTCTTTATTCAGTAGTGGATTGATTAGTGGCGTTTCGCCCGTGATTTTTTATTACAATTGAAGGTTCTTCAATTGTGATTTTTTCTACGTAAAAATCGTTTGTGTCGAGTTATTGTTTATTCAAAAAACAACAATCTAAATCACTTTCGTAAGTGCTTGACGATTCAGGTTGCGTGTTTTGAATAATTGGGATTTGAAATATTTTAATCTTGATCTAATCACGAATCACTTAGGATTTTCAATTGTTATCAGAGCAGGTCACTCTTTGTTTTTATCAAAACTATAGGAGTGTGATTTTGTGTGACTAGTGATATGGATTCTATTCGTGAAGGTAACTCAACTCATAGACCTCCTTTACTCGATGGTACAAACTATTCTTATTGGAAAGCTCATATGAGAGCCTTTTTAAAATCCATCGATGAGAAAGTTTGGCACTGCATGATCTATGGGTGGAGCGAACGAACTGTCGCCATTAATGGTGTTGATATTCCTAAACCCCTTGATAAATGGGACACAACTAATTACCAGAACTCGAGTTGGAACAGTAAGGCTCTCAATTCCCTGTTTTGCTCTGTCACACCAGAAGAATTTCGTCGTATCTGCACGTGTGAGGTAGCAAAAGAGGCTTGGGACATTCTTGAAACGATTCACGAAGGTACTACCTCTGTCAAAAGGTCAAAACTTCAACGTCTCACCTCCGCCTTTGAAACCCTTTTTATGCGGGATGTTGAGACGTTTGATGATTTCTATGCAAAACTTAGTGATATCGTAAATTCCTGTTTCACACTCGGTGAAAAAATCCCAGAAGCTAAAGTTGTTGGAAAAATTTTGAAGTCTTTACCCGAGAGGTTCCAATCAAAAGTGACAGCCAGTGAGGAGGCTCAGAATGTTGATACCCTCAAGCTTGATCAATTGGTTGGAAACTTGCAGACTTATGAAGCCCACTAGATTTCCAAGAAAAAACAAAAAGATAGTGTGGCTTTCACTAGTGCTCATGAGACTGCAAAAACTCCGGAGACTGAATTTGATTTAGAGTCTGAGATGACGGCTATGTTTACTAAACAGTTTAAAAAATTCTTGAAGAAAAAGAAGCCTAATTTCAGAGACCTTATTTCAAATGACAAAAGTAATGAAAAACCCAAAACTTTTCTACCAAAACTTGCTCCAAAAACTGAAAAGAAGATTGTAAAGGGGCAAGGGGTCAAGTGCTATGAATGTCAAGGGTTTGGTCATATTGCCCTAAAATGCCCTTTAAAAAAGAATTGAAAGAAAGTCTACACTGTGACTTGGGATGATGAAAGCGGGTCGGAGCAAGAACCCGAAGAACCTGAATCCGAAAAAGACGGGGATAGTGCTTTCATGGCATTTTGGTCTACTTTCACTCAACCTCTTCCAAAGCCAGCGGAATTAGCTCGTGGTCATAACCTGCAAAAGTATATCACGAGTATCATATACATCCATATACATCAAAACATATCATAGACCCCTGCAAATTATATCCCATATACAGCAAAACATATATGCCCTGCAAAACATATGATATATACGCAAAACCTACTCTTCCTTTTTGGCCGAGAGTGACAAAAACACAGTCATATACACCTGCAAATGAAACAGTCCAAGAGAAGAAACCAAAATCGTCCAAGGAAAAACAACTGTCCAACAAATAGGCAAGAACTAAGACTCGGTTGGAGGTGGCTGCTGCAGTTGAAGAACCGAGAGGATCTGTGCAAGCATGGTACTCTGCTCATCAAGTCTGCTGTCAAGGGCATCAAGGCGGCCATCCAAAAGATCAAGGCGACGATTAACAGTCTGCTCAAAGTGCTGTAACTGACCACGAAAAGAGCGAGGATGCAGCTCAGGAAAATCAAGGGCACCGGCAATGGCTGCCTCAAACTCCTCCTCCTCTGGGATCATCATCACCTGCACCAGAACTCCCAACCCCTGACACACCCCTCCTTACATGAGCCTGACTCTGGGAAACTGTGAGCTTTGTGATGGGTTTGACAGGATGCGCAAACTCATCATCATCAGAAACAGGAATATCAAGAGAAGTGAGAAAACGGGTAAGCAAACACTCGTAAGGAAGTCCAAAAGACTTTCGACCCTTAAAGACCCCAATCATTTTCGAAACAATCATCTCTGGAAGATTAATAGGAAGTCTGTGATGTGTACAATACAACACATATCCCTGGTCCTGGGTAATATGCGAGGAATAGGTGGTGACATAAATACTGAGAGAGCAGATGAAGACAAGGAAAAAAGCTCCAAAATCAAGAGAGAAACACCAAGATTGCAGCAATGACGACCACGCAAACCCTAAGGGAGAGAGAGAGAGGGAAAAACATGAAGAGGGGGAAAAAATATGAATTGAAAAGACACCCCTTTAGAATTTGAACCGCGACAGGTCGCTCGAGCGAAGACTCTATCGCTTGTGCGAGGGCAATAATGCACAGGGGTTCGCTCGAGCCAAGAACTTTTCGCTCGAGCCAAAAACACATGCTCTCAGGTCTAATGCAGTAGCAGAAGCACACTCGAGCAAGGACTCCGTCGCTCGAGCCAAGAAGAGAAAAAACAAGACCCCAAAACAAACTCCTTTTTTTTTTTTTTTTTGGTTAGTGTGGTACGTGGGCTGAGATGTGATTGTAAGTATGCTCTGTTAGACTCTAGGTTTTATTATTGTTGATTTTGGTTCTTTCCTCTAGTTTTCAAGTCTCACTCTTGCATCTAGGGTTTCTAATTTGTCTATTTTTTTGCTAGGGTTTAATTCGGTTTTTTTTTTTTTTTTGGGTTTATTTAAATTCGGTTTTTTTATTTCTGAATACATTGCCCTGTGATACTATTTTTTATTTGCATTACTAATCTTCTCCCTCTGTTGGACTAGATTGTTTATTTAGTGTTTAACTTTTTCATGCTTAATATGTGGTCTGAGTCCATTGATTAGTCTGTTGCTTATCATCTTCATAGTACGGTATTTTTATTATGCTTCTGTTTCTCACATTCTTGAACTAATGGTGTTTTTCTGTGGTGTTTGGTTTGGATTTGGGGTTTTTCTGATGTTGTTTATTGGGTGTTCTGTGTCTGTCTGGGCTTTGTGTCTGTCTTGCTCTGTTTGTT